ATTTAATTATATATAAATATATTGGTAGGTTTTTGTTTTGTTTTGTTGTTCTTTTCCTTTTGACAATCACACTCAAACAATAAATATCTACAAATATCAACCATGTGCTGCTTTGACTTGCATTGAAGAGAAAAATACTGGCAAATCAAATCCTACCGGTCAATACTGGTCAGTTGTTTGCTTGTGTTCTGTCATTTGTCGCCATCTCTCCACTGTCTCGGCTCATGCCTAGCTTGGAATCTCACAGAAGCAGAATTTTGTGTATTTCTAAAATAGACCAAATCTCTGCCGCACGTTTGGAAGGGTTTTGTAACACAACCCTGGAGAGCGTGTGTATTACAAGGATATCAATTAATTGACTATTATCTTTTTAGACTTCCTTGATCTTAAACAGGGTGAGGAGCACTGCTAACAAAGAATTACATTACTATGTCATTGTTTTCTTTGTTGGTGTATCTTCCTACTTGGTTTTCTAAATAAAACATGGACTGTGCTTATCTGTTACTTTCCCCAAACCCCTTTGCATTCAGTTCCATCAGAATTCAGCAGAGGGCTAGAAGCCTTAAAGATATAAAGCTCCTGCTAGTTAGGTGCAAAGCAGTAGTTGCACAGGTGACACCTAAATTGGTGCCCTCATTGTAGGGAAGGCAGGTGTATACTGGTGACCGAACAGGTTGCTGCTGCCTCCTGGCTTGGCCAAGTCTGTCTCTGCTTACTGATGAGCCAGGAAGCAGGCACAGAGCTGCAGTTCCGTATTGTGCACATCATACATTTGTACTGTGGTATCTAGGTGATCTTGCTCCCTAAAAGCCACGGCAGTATTTTACGACAAGTTTCCTTACTTCCTCAGAGGTGTTCCTAGGGGCCTTTATAGACCTTATAATATTTCTTTGAATGTTTAGTTTATATCTTCTTATAGTTTGTCTGTTTGTACTCAGTTGTGTGATGGAAACTTGATCTGATGCTTTATTAAGAAGGAACTGCCTCTGTTCTCTAGAAGGAAAACTTTTCTTTTGAAACACCCAACAAACAAAATACTTAAACCCCAACACCATTTATTTTCATATAATATGGAGCTAGTTTTCAAAACTTTTTTCTTTACTGTGTGGCTATTCTATGCAATATTCTCTTGTATGTTTTAAAGCTAAAATCTTAAAAAATATTCAAATACATATTTTTATTGTGCAGCCACTTTTCCATTAAAACTTAGTTCTTGTAGTTAATAGATTGTTAATTCTGGAACCGCATATGCTGTGTGCCCACTCTTGGGGATATTTTTTAATCAAAAACTCTGCTCATGAGAGCACACAAGGTTGTAGATGTCAAGGTCAGAATTATAACCTGCTTAAAATCAGGCTGGCGCAATACAGTACTGAACAGCTGGAGTGCCTTTATAGAAGGCACTCACTTGCCTGTCTCGATGATAAAAAGTTTACAGTCGCGCCAGCCTTACCACACTGTGACGTAATTTTTTTGACTTCTACTAAGTTTGCAGCAGGTATTTTCATCTCTGTTAAGAATATTTATTGCTTTACCATGTTAGTATTTGAATCCTGAGTTCCTTCCTGCATGTGAAAGATCCACTCTGCATGTTAAATATAAACATTTTAACAATTCTGAAATATTTTTAAAAATTTTCCCCTCTGAAGTTAAAGTAGATTATTCTTAATTAAAAAAACCCCTTAGGATCATTTCCACCTTTGTATGTATGTAAATTAATATAAATATAAAGTTTATTAGTCATATTGCACTAAATTTTCATGAAGTATCACTTTATAGGAGATTTTTAGGAAAAAAAACTGTAAAAGGTTAATTTTCTTCCTGAATTTGTATTAATTTTGTCAAGATTATTTTTTCTGTTACTCATTCTCATTTGCTGCTTCAGGTTTTTTCATAAAATGGCTCTGAATAATCATGCTTGTGTCACTTTTTTACCACATTTTTTGTTGACTGCATGTCTGTTGGGTTCAAATTTCATGGAAATACCATCTTTCAAGCTTCTAGTAATAGATGGGGATATTATACTAGGCAAGATTTGATGATTGATCAGTGTTTTGATATTAATGCTAATTTTCTAGACAAGAAAAACATTCAGAAAAAAAATCGTAGTCTTAAATTGGTTATTTAGAAAAACCCATCCCTAAAGTCGCTGTTTTGCATCAGCTCTATTGTGCCACTTGTCTTGTGCCTTTTAGCTTATCAAGTCAATGTGCAAATTAGGGTCAGCTTTGGTCCTAACGCTCAAGCATGTTTTGCTCAATGCCTTGTTTCTCTTAACTACACTCACTTGAAAATAGGACCATCTCAAATCTAAGGTAATTCTCATTTTTCACAAAGTGAAACAATACCAAAAGATGCTCTTTTTCCCCCCAGTAGGTGTGTTTCCCTTTGACTTAAGTGATCCCTTGTAATCTCCTCCCCATGCATTTGGCCATCTTGGCGCAGGCGCACAGTTGCTCTGGGCATGTAAACCGAGAAAACCGCGCTGGCTGCACCGGCCTGACCTGTCGTCTGGATTTCAGCAGCACTGATGGGGGTTATCTCTCTGTTAGTTCATCCTTCCCCTGCAGTTCCCCTGGGGACGTGTGAATTTACTTGGCAAAGGACTATGAAAAGTTGCAGGGTTCTTGCACACCCCTCCTCCAAGCTCACCTCCACAAACACTTGCAGTCCTGGGTGCTTGTGTTTTAGGTTCCCCTGCAGAAGTTTTCAGAAATTCAAAGTCATTAGGTAACCCTGTGCTGAACTTTGTAGGTCTAGATGCCTTGGGCTGCACCACATGCCTTTTGAAAGTAAAGCTGCACAGTAAACCTGTACCTGGAGTATAGTTGATGGAGATGAGAAGCTGAATTTTTTTCAGATCTTAATTTCTGGAAGAGCAATCAGGTTGCCTTAGTTTGGGTCACTGATGTTATAATGGGGCGTTGTACTTCAGAGTTGGGGAAAAAAAAGTATGTACAATGGTATTTAGATGTTATATATGATAACCTCAAGCTGTATGTGTGCTTTAAGAATATGATTTCTCCTAGGTTTAATATGTAACATTACTTGGTTTTAGCTTTCAAATGAAAGCCATTATCTTGTGATTAAGTGTCTCCTGCGTAGGTTGTTACTGAATACCACGCTGGTTCACATTCTCAGCCAGTCCAATAAGTTTCCACACTCTTCTTGAAAAGTGCAACCTTTTTCACTTCCCATCCCCAGTTTCTTGGACTGTGTTACTAATACTGTAATACAGGGATATATTGTTGTGTTTAAAACACCCTGTGCTTTGCATTCTTATTGACTGATAAAGAAAACTCTTCGATATCTTGTTAAACACCAAGCTAACTTTGAACAGTGTTTCTTGTCACTTTAATGTTAAATTTGTCACCTGGTTTTCTTCTGCTGTTAGAAATGCTTTGAAGAATATTTTATTTTTTAGAATTTTGTATATAAATTTTAATCAAAGTGTAGGATTGTCTGTGTTCACCTAGTTGAAAACAACTTCTTTGTTCATGGGCTAGAGCAAAGAATCAGTTCACTTCCTTTAGACAAAGGGCTCTGTCCAAGCTTTTGGACAGAGTTCTTAACTTTCAGCTGAACAAACCAGAAAGAAAAAGCTGGCGATCCCATTTTCCTGGAAGTGACAGTCATTATCTGAATGCCTGGTCCATTGCCTTTACTATACAACAAGATGGATATCAGAAGTCAGATTCTGAATTAGGCTTCTGTTTGTACCATGTTATAAGCTTTTAATACTCTTTGAGCTTTTTAATATGCTATGTCTCTTACTACCTACAGAAGTATTTCACTGATGAGGAAAAAATTACCATAAAACTACACTGGAGTCATACCACAAGTTTTTTGATCCTACCCCTCTCGCCCCCAGATATACTATATAAAGCCTGTATGTTGTTGAAAACATAAAGATTATTGTGAATTTTTTCTGATGTTCTATACAGCTTGCTGGAGTAGAGTTTGGTATTATACATAGGCCAGAAAATTGATTGCCTTTTCTGTAATCCCAGACTCCGTTAATAGGTTTAATAGTCAAACATTAAGAAAAGATTGTGGGACTTAACAAAATGAAAATCCCACTGTGTCAAAAAGCATTTTAGTTGTCAAAATCAAAAAGTTTTCAATAGAAGTTTGTTACTGTTGCACTTCTGTAATTTTGTAGATGTAAATAAATACATTTTCAAGGAATGAATTCTGAACACCTCACATGTTGTTGGTATCATATGATTAAATCAAGCTATGTAAAGCAAGCCTTAAATAAAAGCATATGTTTTCCTTACTTCTGTCTTTAAGCATGCATTTCCTCTTTTTTTTATTGTTACAGTATTTAAATCGAGGCTGTACCAGATACTTTGCTAACAAAGAAACAGACAAGCAGATTTTGCAAAATCGCAAGAGTCCTGAGGTATGTTTGTATCTTCAGTTAGTTTATATGATTAAATAATGCAGATAGAGTTGAAAATGATGATTACAGTTTTACAGTGTGGAATGAAATGTTCATTTTACACATCTTTATAGGTCTAAACGGGTACTGTCAAAGCAGGTATATTCAGAACTCTGGTTTTGGAGTTCAGTCCTAGAAACACATTTTAGCATGCATCTTAAAATCCCAAATGGAACAGTATGTAAAATTGTTTCCTTTTCATTATTATAATAATATAACACTTAACGATGCAGCTTGTCTTCTCTGGAAAACAAAAATTTATGCAAGACTTTTTGTAATTTTCTTTTCAAATCTTACTACTGCTAGGAATAGGTCAGCAGCAGTAGTTTTTTCCAGAGGCATTTTTACGGGAGAGCATGGCATTTCCTGGAATAAAGTGTGAAACTTCAGAACATTTCTTTTCTCTTGCTCCATGTCTGTTTACATTTTTTAAAACTGGAGTTACCAGCCTTTGAGCTTGTTTGCGTAAGGACAGTAAGAATTTCATCCAAATTAATAGTATATGTGGACTGGAAGTTGTTTAAACACTTCATTAAACTTCTGGTCTGCTCTCTAATACAGTTTTCATCTATTCATACATAAAGTATGAATTTTTCATTTGTATAGCTAGCAGTTATTTCAAATCCTAATCAAATCCATGCTTGGGATTCAGTAGCAGGGCAAGCTGCATATACGTGTGGAATAATACGAAGATAAGTTTACTCAAGGGCTTCTCTCCCCCAATGACCGTGCCATCTCTTTTACCTTTGAGAACTTGGGCTTGAGCTTGTATGTAGCTCGTGCCTAGCTATGAAAGACAGTACAGGTACTTCCTTTGCTCAGGTCAACATTGTAAAAGTCTACTCCTGGATTTCTGGTGTTTATATGTTGTAACACTGAGCACGTAATGCCAATTCCTGTTACTTGAATGTGGGCTATTTTCTGTAATCAGGGATGGTGCAGGGCGAGATACAGAAATGCTGATTTGCTATTACTGAGGCAGAAAGCTGGTAGATACTTAATTCTTGTCAAGCATATAGGCTAAGAGATGGTTGGGAGATTTTGCCTCAGTCGACTTAATTTGCCTTTGACTTGTAGTGAAGTTGGTAATTTACTACTGGAAGATGAACCTATGCAATCTTCTGCTACTGATGTGATTTACAGGCAGGTGTTCTGTCATAAAATGTGTTCTCTAAAGGACTTAATTTGAAATAAGTGTTTGTCTAAGACATACTGAAAGAATAATTCTGAAAGTATGTATTGGACATTAAACAGCAGAAGATGTGATGCCATAATACTTGTATGTTACAGCCATGCCAATTTGAAGGCGCAATAAATGATCACATTTCAATGATACTAAAACTTAGTCTAGCCACTTAAACATGAAATAGATTGCATTGTTCAGGTTTTTTTAAATCAGAAATCTAATATTTGCTGTGTCGGTTTGTGAAAAATATTAAGATTGTTTATTTTAATAAAAGCTGGAATAGTCAATTAATACTTAAATTATTTTTGTGTTTTCCTTATCAGGAAGATGAGGTGATCATTTTACATAATTAAGATGGAGTTTAATTTTATTGATGTGTCTAAATGTTGTGTGAAGTGAATTTTTCAGATGCATGTGGTGTTTTGTTTTGATAAAAATCATGTTAGCTTATTTGACATTAACGAGGCTTCTATTTAAAGTTAATTATTCTTTTTAGTTGAAAACATTTTAAAGTAATTGTAAAAATTTAGATCAGTGTGCATGCTCAGTTAGTCTCTTGATTGCATGCAGATGTGTTACTGTCTACTGTTTAAAACCATTAACAATTAAAATGGCTTTTGATGTGTTTACATTAGGAAAATCAACAAAATGTTAAATTGGTATTTTAAAATGTAGCTGGTATTCTTTTAACCTGTAGAACACTGTGAACAACTTTACTGTTTCTTAATCACCAGCAAACTTTAACAAGTGTATTTCTCTAAATAAGTCCATTTGGGATGGGGATGACTCTTCCAATTCTGATTTGTCCTGTACTCCTTTCCCATGGCCTGTCAAGGTTTCTGTCATCCTATTCAGCTGCTAGGGGCTAGAAGCGCTCCTCTGTATAAGTGCTTTGATAGCTTCCTTAACCAAAGTCTTCCTTTCCACTGCTCACAATGCTGTATTCCCCTGTCCTTAGCTGTCTCACTCTCCAACTTCTGCTTTCTGAAGATAGTTTGAAGTTTGCTTTGAAGCTGAAGTTTGAAGACCATGCTTTGAAGTATCAACAAATTAAAACAAATTAGGGTTCTTGCAAAGCCTGTACTGTATGGAGAGCTCTAATCATTCTACTTAGTTTGGCATGCTTTTTTATGCTTTTTGTTATGGTTTATTGTTGACTGGAAATAATTGCTTACATTTACTTCAAAATCACTTACTGAATTTTTGGTTTATCTTGTCATTTTATAGTATCTCAAAGCAGGTTCCTTGAAGGATCCACTCTTAGATGATCACGGAGATTTTAACAGAATGTGCACAGCAATGAAAAAGATTGGACTGGATGATGCAGAAAAACTTGATCTTTTTAGAGTAGTGGCTGGTGTCCTTCACCTTGGAAATATTGATTTTGAGGAAGCTGGGAGCACTTCAGGTTAGATGAAACATAAATTGTTTTCTGTAAAAATACTGAAAATGTCTCTTGATTGTAGATGATTCCTTTCCATGCGAATTATTGCTTTAGAAAGCTGCCTTGTGTTCAAGGGGAATTCAGTTTTAACTCACACCATTTTGAAGTCAAGTTTACCTGTTTGTTTTGAAGTACTTCTTTACATGCTCTGAAAGCAGACAGGCTCTCACTGAAATTTTTCAGTGCAAAGTTTGATACAAAGAAAAGAGACATAAAAATGTCTCTTAAAATACATAAAAATTTATTTTAATAATAATTTTTAAAAGTCCGACTTCTTGCTAATGACGTGAAAACATCTTGAAATTAACAACTCCATCTGTAGGGAA